ACATTTATTGAAACCCAATGACGTGTATACCTAACCTTTTGTGGGTTTTTATAACAGAAAGATAAATGATAGCATTGTAAATTTATATGTGAGCTCTGAAGTAATTTTATTACTTAGATATATTTTTTAAATTTCAGAACTATAAAATGTCATACACATAGAATTTTCAGTAAGTAAGGAAACAGTAAATTGTTACAAACAATGTGAACAATAGAAACCCGTTTTCATAATTATTGAACAATGTATATATTAACAAAATTATTTTGTTTATTTAAAAAACGATATTTAAAAATTGCATTTTAGTGATTGTAAAGTTTTTTTTATAAATCTGCTGTGTTAAGTATAAATAAATAAATATTGTACTCCTACCGAAATCTGTGATCTACCAGTGAGAATGGATTTGAATGCATTATTAGTGTGAACCACGTAGGACTCCAAGTCTAGGACAGAGTATCAACTAGACACACAAATTTAAACTGATATCAATAGAGCAAAGAGTTATATTCTAAAAGATATATCAAATGTGATACAAACGTATAAAGAAAAAGAAACTAAATATACATTAATGTACAATTTATATAAATTCATAATATTTTTAAAAAAACATTAAATAATTTAGCATATAAACTTGAATTTTTTGTAAAGAATGTCATAAGAGTCTTATCTTTGCCTTTTCTTACAGGAAAGAATAAAAGATGAAAAAATTAACTTGAATAAAAACTGATTTAATAGATATATCAGGACATTTTATTATACTAACAACATTCCATTTTTTTTATAATTTCAGTATAAGTACTTTTATTTCATAAAAATGATTTACTAAAAAGTTAATAATCTCGATTCAAGTACACAATTTAGTAAGGATAGGTTAAGATAGTTGGAGTGAATTTGGTAATAGTTGTTTTGTATTTATTCATACGTTAAGGAAATTTTATAAAAACCTTTTTCAAACTATTAATTAAAAGGTTCATATTTTTTGGTAACGCTTTCTTACTTTTTCAGTTATGTGTTTTATCATATAAGCAACACAGTTAATGTAAATCAATTAAAAAAAATCTACTTAATGAATTTTCTGATTTGAACATATAGGAAGAGGTGTCAGTCAATAATAGTAATACTTTTTTTTAATTTTACATGTTCATGTAATTTACCAACTAAAAGATGAGCGATATAAATTCCATTTATATCTATGGGTTTATCTACCACTATATATTATTTGGAGACTCTTAAATATAATATATAGGTATTTCCTGATATTTCATATTTTTTCAATTGTATATATATATATATATAACATGGATCTAGGTAACTCTGTCTAAGTGGGCTCTCTTTCGGTATATTACTTTTTGTATACTTTTGTAAAAAGTTACAAAAATGAGAATTTTTAACATATACTGTAGAATATTTGCTACTAATAGGGTTTAACTTCATTAAAACTGGTACCTTTTGTTTCGATCACCATTTTTGTTTGACATTTCTATTATTTTTAAATTGTTATGACAACTCATTTTTGAGTTATTTAAAATTCTTTATTACAAGAAAGCTGACAATTAAAAAATTCACAATATAAAACTAGTACATTAGTCATAAATACTATTTTATCATGATTAAATGGACCAATGCATTGTTTAAAAAAGATAAAATATTTTGTGTAATTTTTGGCATATTTTTATAATTTTAATATAAATACTTTTAAACTTTGTTAAGAATAAATTTTCATATTTGACAAACTGATAACAAGAAATTGTTGATTTCATAAATGATAATAAAATAATTATACAAGATTCATATTTTAACATAGTAAAGTATAAAATCAGACTTTCGATACTTTTTAATGTAGAAAATAATTGGTAACTATTTTTCTGTAGGTAGTGTTATCATTTTTACTATATTGGGATAAAAATGTGAATATATTCTAAGAATATATTATTTAAATCTACTTAATACTTCAATATGCTTATTAAATATTGAAGTTTTTAAAATTGTGAAAAAAACCTTTTGTTTTTGATGGTACAAAATAACATTGTCTCAAGTAGATTAATTAATGCTTGTAATAGAGAAGACGAAAAAACTTGTACAGTTCGGTGAAATGGAATAGAACATTAATGTTATCACACTGAATCATGACGCATTCTCTATCGGGCAATATGGGCCACCTATTAACCTTTTTCGAAATCTTAACTTGAGCTTCCTTTGAGACATCAATTAAGTACAAATGTTGTGACTTTTAAAAGGAATTTATGTCTAGAATTTTTCATAGTTGATCAGCCCTTAAAGAGGCTACGATAAAAACTATGAACAGAGTATTTTAGTAAAGATTTTAATATTTCACTACAGAATTTAGAAAAGTTCTTTTAAATAATATTTGTTTCATTTGTGGCATCTAAATTATTTAATTTATTTGATTAAATTATATTCAAAATTAATTATAAAAGTTCTTTAAAAAAATTGGAACGTGAGTAATTCTATTCTTAGTGAAAGGAATTTGATAATTTTAAACCGTACTTGGTCAAAATGAGTAAAATTTGGTAACCTGTTACTATTTTAATGTAAATAAATATTTTACAAAAAAACTTTTAGTATTTGAAAAAAGTTTAGTAAGTAGTCAGTGCGAACAAGATAAAGTAAAATAATTTATCAAAATAGTAGTATGACAAATAAATTGTTTGCCTTTTAAAAAGGAATGACAGTTTTTAAACTTATACATTCAGTTTCAAATGTTTACTTATAAAAATCAGTAAATTTAAAAATTTTACCGTTAAAATATTGTAAAAGTATATTTTGTTTGGCGTAAAAATGTCTAAGAAACTTTTCAATCAACGCATATGTCATTATGAGTGTTCTGGAATAAACTGGTGTATATGAATACACAATAGACTTATAAAATGCATCTCAAAATAATTTTTCCTTGAATAATATAAAATAAAAAATTTACTTACAACAATGCTTGATTTGGAAGGACTCGGGGGAAATGAATATCTCAAATAATTTTTTAGACATTATAGCGTACTCCTACTTCTTTTTTTACGGGCAACACATAGAACAGGTTATTTACCTTTTTTTTGAAAAATGCTTATCTTACATTTTTTTATTAAATATATAAATCTTACAAAATATTCTAATATTTACAAAATGTATTGACATTCTATGTCTGATTCATAGCCAACAATGATAACCATTCGTTATCTATAAATGCAGGTGACCAGTAACCACTGATCTATTATAATACTATTATTGAAATACACACTATTATCATTTTCTATATTTTATATATTAATACTTCGTAGGGTATCGTAAAAGGGAGTGTTATAATAAGGATAAGTCTAGAGACGTTATTTTTTTAAAAGTAGCTAGAGCTCTACAGCTTTGTATATAAGTCATGCAATGAATGACAATAATAATAAATATAATTATCATCTTGTATGTACTTACATTTAACAAACGTAACAGATTTTTATCCTTTGTCAACCGTTTTGCTTCTAAAACGTACAAACCATACTGTATGGGAGCAAAATATGTGTCAAACTATCTTTTAGCATAACAACACAAATAGAATTTCTTTATTAAGTAACTCCAAATTAAAATAAATGCGAGAACATTGTTTATGATTTTAATTGTACAGTATTTATGATATTGTATTAGTTAAATGTTAGTTTTCCTTAATTACATTAAAATTTTGCTGCATAGATAAGCACATTTGTTTGAAATGTTATTACGATTTTTAAACGTTCTACTGAGAGTAGAAGCTTTTGGAAGTCGTGTACGATGATAGTATTCGTTAAATAATTAGTTATGAATCATTCCGAGTATGATATTAATTTTTGGTTTTCCTAGTGGTGATCGATATACAGGTTGGCCCACCACTCACTGACAACTTAAATAACTTTTGATCCAGTTAATATTTTTAGCTGATTTTTTTTTTAAATAATAGTTATACGTTAGGTCTATAGCCATATCTCAATAATTAATTTTTTTACATTTCACTAAAAATATTAATTATTTTTAAATTTTAAATAAAATGTAGAAAAAAAGTCTAAGATAGCTTTTTTGTAGAGTAGAATTTAAGAAAAATTTTAGTAAAAAAATATCTTATTAATATTCAGTAGTAAATATTCTGTAGCGTTTTGAAGTTTGTGAAAATTTGAATTTTCATGTATTATTTTACGGTATTAAACATTGGATTACGTATTGAGAAAAGGACAGAAGAAAACGCTATCTTTTCATGATTACTGTGTATACATATGATGATAATGTGTATACATTACAAACTTGGCATTAATACCATGATAAGAAATTAGATAAGGCAATTATTACTTATCACTCTCATTCAAAAGTATATTGAAAAGATAGCGGTTTCTTCTGTCCTTTTCTCAATACGTATTTCAATGTTTAATACCGTAAAATAATACATGAAAATTCAAATTTTCACAAACTTTAAAACGCTACAGAATATTTACTATTGAATATTAATAAGATATTTTTTTACTTAAATTTTTTTAAAATTTTACTCTACAAAATAGCTATCTTAGATTTTTTTTTACATTTTATTTAAAATTTAAAAATAATTAATTCTTTTAATAAAATGTAAAAAAATTAATTATTGAGATATAGCTATAGACCTAATGTATAACTATTATTTAAAAAAAAAATCAGCTAAAAATATTAACTGGATCAAAAGTTATTTAAGTTGTCAGTGAGTGGTGGGCCACTCTGTATACTAATTGAGATTATAGTTTGGGAGGGGTTGATGTGGAACGGTCACTCCTCCTTAGAACAAAGAAAAATTCCTGTGGTATTGTATATACTTATGATACATTTTCATAGAGATGGTAGATTCATAAATGGTAATAAATTTTATAAATGCATCAAGTCTCAAATCCTAGTTTTCAGTCAATTGTTATAATGTCATTCTTAATTTTTATTTTATACTTGAAGAATTTTTTTAATAAATACAGGTCTATCATATGACATTTATTTGATATTATTACTCTTTTAAACAGGTATCTTGGGTCAGGCGAAGAGACTGGCACATTCTAAGCTCTGATGTATTTATGTACACAAATGATGAACGATTCCACGTGCTTCATGCAGACAATGCTGATAATTGGGATTTACAAATTAAATACGTCCAAAAAAGAGACGCTGGTTCATACGAATGTCAAGTAAGAAAGTGTTTTTTTATTATCAGCAGGCATAAATATGGGACTTAATCCAATCTTTTAAGATTATTAAAAATATACGGTTATTTGAATAATTACATTACATATATTAAATATATTCTAATAATTATGACTTCTATAACATAATTTAGTTAGTATCTAGTTGAGTTAAAATAAAATAAAAATTATTTATGAAAGCTCTTTCATATCCTTAATAATTCGTTGGTAATGAGACAACTGACAAGATAGCATAATCAGGACTAGAAATCGAAAGAAATTCATTATTTGACAATTTTTCTTATATCAAGTAAATTAGTTCATCTATTTCGATTTTTTTTTTTTGTACGTATTAAAAAACGATTACTGAATCCAAAAACGCTATGAAACTATATTTGAAACCTTAATTGAACTGAAAATTTTATATTAAAAATGTCTAAGTAAAGTTAAGTGATTTAATATTATTTTTGGTTTCTATAATTATTAACCTCACAAATTTAAAAAAGAAATTCGATACAAGCCGACTAACTTAATATTTATGGTAAAATTATTCGAAATACCGAAATTATTTCGGTTCTTAACCCAATTATTCTTTATAAGTTATATATTAGTTTTGAATATATACGAAAAATAATTAAAAATATGGTCGTTGTTCTTTAATTGTGTGAAATATCACGAACAAATTTTAATTTTTATATCTAAAAAGAAGACAAGCTCTATTCAACTTAAATAAAGAAAATTTTTCAAGAATAAAAGTTAATAGTACTCTAATGATACGTAATTGCTTAGTTGGTTATTTTGTAAAAATACTAATTAATATTTAATTGACAATGAAGTATGAAGTAGTTCTAAGTTCAATAAAATGTGTAATCTAATAATAATGAAAATAATTTTAGCTTAACATGAGTCGATATTCAAACTGTTGTAGCTAACAGTTTGAAAATGATAAAATTGATTAATTTACCAACTAAAATTTTGTAAAATAAATTACTTCATACATTAAATATTTCTATTACTTACAGGTCGCAATGGGAACAGGAATTGCTTCACATTACTTTAATCTTGAAGTAATTGTACCAATTGCTCGAATATTGGGACGAGAAGAATATCACGTTGGAAAAGGAAGTACCATAAATCTCATATGTGTTATTAAAAATGTAAGTAATCTTATTTTCTTAACAAATTGTATTATTTATAATTAAATATAAAAATTATGGTTCTGATAAGTGAAAATACTTTCTAATGCTTGTGGACTTCATACACGATTTTGTCGCACTAAGTACTGACATCGTTAATAACTTTTGGATATAACTCTTAATAATTATAAATAACTTAATAACTCCATCAAATTTAATTTTTTAAATTTTTTTATATAATGTTTTGGACTACATTAATACAAAGAGTGAGTATGTAGCAAGGTAGGTACAGCAGTTCGTACTGGTGTATTTTTATTATACATATTTCACCCAAGTTACATACCCATTCACTATTTAAAATGCTGGAAACTCAATAAATACTTATTCTAAAATTGTTATCACCATTTTTTTCTAAGAAACGGGTTAAAAAATAGCTATTCTAAAATTAAAAAATAACATGCTCAAAGTTATTAATTATAAATTACAAATTATTTTTCTAAATTGATCATAATAAAAGATTTTTAAAACTTGTATCAATTATTGTTTAACTGAAAATTCAATTAAACATTTTTTATAGATAGCACTATCGATACCAAACAGTGTCGCAAATAAAATTTTATATGACATTACTAAATATTTTTTCTTCATATTGTTTGGTTTTTTGGAGCGACTTTAGCAAATATCTCGTAGACCAGTTTGTCACTAACAACGCCGTGTACATCAGGTCACGGACTGCTGATCTCTTTCGTCTTTGCTTACCTACCCCACCGCTCGCCAGTCACGGCAAATTGGTAGTCTACGAGCGACTGCCTGCCGTGTTCCTCAATGAAAACATTGTGCGTCTTCCATTTACACAGCAAGCGCCTTCGCCATATTTTTAGTGTTTTGGCATACCTGTTGTGCCCTGACATCCTCGAGCATCTGTGCCCATGCACCACTTTAGTGATCAACTCTGTCCGTCACTGGAGCATCTAGTCCTCAGGTCACTACCGTTATAGTCATTTAATCACCACCCGACATTGTTGACCGTTACGCGCCCTGCGTTTAACAGGAGCCCGACATATCTGGACGCGCAAAGTCATTTGCACACTAACACAGTATCAGTCGATTCGTGTAGGCTGTTCTTACCGCACATCGCGGTGCCATTGACATCGTTGGCGTCTTCATTATTTCAACGTCCGAGTACAGTCCACTCATTGCCATTATTCACCATTCGTCTAATTTACTTAATGCAGCTAAGCCTTTAATTGTTTGTTTTACTTTATTGGCATTATATCATTTATACTTTGGTCAACACCTATTCGCCGGCCATTTTAGTCGTAAGGGCCCTCTATGCCCTTTACAATCAAGTTACTTATTGAATTACTTTTAATATTTTTATACTTGATTTACTTTCAATTTGTTTTTTGTATTTTTTTTTTATGTGCTCATAATGCATACAACTTAATGTTTTTATTTTTACTATAATTTCTACCATTTTATTGCTTCGTATTATAGTTGGAAAATATAGTTATTTTAATTTATTGCTGATTTTACCATAAAAATAATAGTTTTTTGCAGTATTATAGAACCACAATATATTAACAGTACAGAAATATGTGATTTAATGCAATGTATTTCCATTACTCATACCCTTAGTTATATCAATAAATATAAATAATATAATAATATAATGTAATATCTTATTACATAATCACTTTTAGTTAGATATATTTCATTGTAAAATCAAACATTTACATACTTAAAAAAAAAAAATAGCAAGTTGATCATGTAAATTTTGATGACCATTATATTCCTTTTTTTTCAACAGTTTAGAGATCTAAAACTATTTTTTTTAGTACTAAAACTAATTGGTTTATGTCGTTGAATAATTTAAAAACAATGATTCATTAAAATGAATCATAACCATAATAATAATTATTATTATAGTTTTAATTTTTAATATTTAAACATTAATACTCTAATAAAAGGTATTGCCACAACTCATTAAGTAGACTAAAATGTAACTAGTGTAGAAACCTAATTGAAGGATTTTTATTTATTACAAATTTTTAAGTTTAATAACTATTTGGGTTTTGATTTTAGCGCAAAGAAATGTATTAGTTGAATATTTATAAGAGTTCTGACATTTGTATTAAAATCATTTATCGCATGAAATTTCATTTTTACGTACGAAAATTAGAATGCGTTGCAAAAAAGTTTTGATGAAGGTATTACAAGATGGACAATGTGATTAATTCGAACAATTATTCTTGAACTACAATACATGTCTCATTAACATTATTAACATCATTTCAACATGTCACAAGTTCAAACTTAAAACACCAGCAAAATATTTTTTAATAAATAAAAAAAAAAATAAAATTATTAATCCTTTATACTGGAATCAATTTTTAATGTCAAATTTTTTATTTTCGTGTACGTTCAAATAATTTATACTAAAATATCTGTCTATATATATTTGCTATTAATGATATTTAAAAATATATACATATCAAAAATATATATTTATTAAAAATATTACCTTCTATTTATTGTTAAAAACGATTTAATTATAAATATTTTAATGAACCATAGTAAATATTAAGTTCATTAAAAAAAAATTATTCCTAAGGGAAGATTTTAGAAGTAACTCTTGAAAGTTATATGGTATATATGTATATATAAGATATATTATTATTTTTTTACTTCTAAATGGAAAAAAAGTCTAGATATAAATTTGACTGATCAATAACCTGTTTTATAATATTATATTTTGACATATTAGCATTAAAAAATAATGAAAGGTGAGCAGCGGGATAGTGTTAAGTAGATTTTTTACCATTATGCACACATAAAAATTCTTCTACGTTGAGCACCTCTCCGGCTGTAATTAAAAATAATAATAACTCAAAAAGTAATATAAGAAGACCTGAATCGATCAGTTAACATTTAATTTAAATCATTTTCTATTTAATAGTATACAAATAATAATGGATTCACATTTAACTTTCAAAAGTTACCCCTACAATATACCCTTAGAAATAATTAAAAACATAATTTTTAATATAATTTATATAAATAAATCAAATTTTAATCTGAGCATTAAAAATAAAAATTTTATGAATAAATGGAAGGTAGAAATTACGTACAGTTACTAAATATATATAATCTTGATTGTACTTCCGGTAAATTTTCAACAAATTAAATTTATTATGTTTATAAAAAAATTTAAAATATACAAAATAAAATAACTTGAATAAATGTTAGAAGCAATTATGTGTTTATTATTAAAAATTAAGAGGTTCTAGTTAAAAACTTAGATTAAAACAATAACGTAGAAAAAAATTGAGTAATATTTTTTAATCATAATTTTAAATTTAGGAAATATCGTTTAAAATGTTGGCATTAAATAAATATAAAGCTATAATTAATAATATATTTTATTTATTGAACAAATATATTAAATAAAAATTTACGATGGATTACAATCATATTTCATACATGACAAAAAATTATCCATAACTAATTTTTATAGATAACAAGATTATTAGTATAATTTATACTAATAATCTACAATGTTTATTGTATTTAATGTAATTTTTATTATAATTTGTTGCTCAAACAATAGATTACATGGATTTTTTATCTATGATAAACTATATCTATGTACTGTGATTATAAAATACTAACTTAACTGTTAACTCGAGTGTCAAAAAATGTTAATAGAAATGTCATCTTTATATTTTAATCTGATACGAATCAAAATGACAGCAACGGGTAGTCAGCAAAATTATAATGGACATTTTTCTTTTCTTAAGGCCGTTATTGGAATCTGTGTAAAAGAAAACGTACTACGATTATGGGTACCATTCGAAGTGTAGGTTTGCAATGTTTGCATAATAATCTACATCCAATCATTTTTCAATCGTTCATCATTTACTTTGTATAAAATGTGACAAGTACGTGAACCGAAAACTCATGTTTTTTTATTTCAAGTTAGAAAATTCTCAGAATAATTTTTTCATAGAAAATGAAACAAAGAAAATTCATATTTATTTTTTGAATTTTATTTAAAATTGTATTTGTATTAAAGAATTATTTGAAATATAGTCAAAAATGGAGTAAAAAAAATGATGTTATTTTATATAAAAAAAAATACAGTTAAATTTTCAAAAAAATGTTTATTTATATCCGTTAATAGGAAAAATAATAATGATCAGTACTAATACACTTTGGATTTTTTTCAATTTTGTTATTGGATGGGTTTACCAAAAAAAAAAAATTAAATATTATATAGGTTGAAATTCTACTAGTATCATAAAAATTGTTACATAAATTTTGTATAATAATTTTTGATTGAATCTTAACTAATTATAATATACACTTTTCTACGATTTTAAAAATTACATTCATCAAGTATAATTATATTAGTAATTTTATTTTTATAAAAAAAATTACATTCCTTATAATGAGTATTTTTTTAAATTTATTATTTAGTTATTATTAATTGGATAGTAAAGATATAGGTATCATTATTGATATAAACGATATATCTTTTTATATGAAGACATATCGTTTAAGTGAATAAAATTTATTTAATTATAATCAGTTTTTTTGAATCCACAAATGAGTAGCTGGTGTTACAAGTCCATTTTTTTCAGTGAAGTTATTAATATTATTGAGTTTATGATTTCTTAAAATTAAAAATGTTAATGTAATTATTTTTGGTTAAAAATATTACACATATATGTTAAAAATATCAGCGTTAATTTTAGATCAAGAGTTATATGTCAATGTAATGTATTATCATTCATAAATTTCCTTTTCTACAAGAATATATTATACTATCGTAAATAAAATATAAATTTTGTATAATTTGATTTTCACGAACCAGAACTGTGGAAAAATATTATAAAAACTTATATTGATGAGTATTCGAATTTTTAGAGAAAGGTTACTGTGAAAATTAATAAAAATATGAAAATCTTGTGCCTATGGCGTATGTTTGGAATAGAGTTTATATTCAGAGAATTTTACAGCTAAAATTTTTTACATTTATTTTAAACTTTTTTAATAAACCTTCATATATTAACTGTATATTGTGAGAAATATACACATAAAAATATTTTATTTCCAGTAAACAAAATAAACGATTCGAATAAATAAATTCTTTTCAAAAGTTATCATTTTCCCGTTTTTTTTTCTATTCTGTATAAATGAGCAATTTTTATTCCTGAATTATTCAATAACACTGAAATGTTCCCAAAGAAACTGCAGTGAAACTCAATCCTTAAGATTAGATAGTCGCAAAGTTTTGTATACATAAAAAATATACCCTAAAGAATTACAAAATTTCCTGTATTTGGCAACAGTATTTTTTGTTTTTATGGAATTTTTTGTATCTTCTTTATTCAACAAAAGGTTAATTTGTTCATAAACTTTTTTAACATAAAGGTAATCTCAATTCTTTTTTCATAAACCAGGCAATTTAGCTAAGTACCATACCATATATCTATTGGGTCATAAGAATAGCTATTATGCTGGACTGTGTAGTGTCCAATAATCGATCGATGCATCTAATGTTTGTATAATAGATTATAAATGACATTTGATTTGAAGATAATTATTAACTGATAACTGATATAACTGATTAAAACAAAAAATGATACAATCGTGATCTAATATAAATTTACTAGTATTGCACGACATAATAGTGATTTAATTTATAAATTAACAAGCACTTCTATACTTTTTTATACTATAGTGATGCCTCATAAAAAAATTTTCTTAGAAAAATTACAAACATACAAATTATTGTCAAATTCAACAAATTCGCATCGAAGCTTTTTTATGATAGCGATGTTAATCACTGTCAGATATCATTTATACTTTTCCCGGCTATGACGCAATTCCTTTGTTCTGGGATTTTTTAATTTTAGGAAATTATTTTTTATGTATTTGATAGACCAAAGCAATTATTATGTTTTCTGTTATCGTGCACTAAAATTATTTTTTTATTTTTTTAGGGTTCAATGTTAACACACAATGTGGTTTGGATCCATAATGGACGACCTATTGATAACTCTACGAATAACAAAAATGACTATAGAGAAGTTAAGACCGAAATTTTACAGTCAGATAATACAATACAAAGTCGCTTATTCATTAGGGGAGCATCTCAAGCCGCTTTGGGAAATTATACGTGTACGGCACCTAACACGGAGCCTGACACAGTTAACGTATATGTGAGCGAAGGTGAGTTGATTCTTTTTCTTAATTTTATAAATTAGTATAGAGTTATGCCTAATAGTTTTGTTATCTTATTAAATGTTTGAAATTTAGATATCTGAAATAAACCAATATAATTTTTCGTGTTAACAGCTTTATTGTTGTTAGAATCCGTGACAAAATTAGAGTTTATAATGTTATAGATATTTCGTTAGTAAAAAACAAAAATTTATTATATAAAATATTTATTCTGATTATAATAAATTATTCAACTTACATACTATTGAATTTATTACAATTGGAAACTTAGTATTGTGTGTATTGCATAAAGTCAAGTAATTGTAATAAATTAGAACCATTCAATTTGTCTATTACGTTTGCTTTAGATTTATAAAATTAATTAAATGAAATACAGTAAATCTATTGTTCAAATGTTGGTGGTCTTTGCCCTTCCGGATGTGAAAACCAAGTATTAATCGATGTAAATGGTACATGACCACATTATTAATATCCTAAGGGTAAAATATAGGATAATAGTATTTGTTTTAAAATTCCGTTTAGAATTATTTTGGTAACCTTTTTTGAACACATATGTATATACATTTTGTTTTTCTAAATATAAATATGAAAATCGTTGTAGGTGTGCGACCTTTTTATCTTGTACAGATTTGTTAATCTTTAATCATAACTAATTAGTTATGACAGATTACATAATTGATAATATTTTTTGTTTGCTTCTGTTAAAAACGAAATACATGTATATGTTGATTTTGTAAAAGCCTAAACCATTAAGAAGCTTAAAATATTGTAAATATTTTATTTGATTTTCCATTATTTTATTAATTTTTTATTTAATTAAGTGTCTTTTTAAATTTTACAAACTATGTTGTTTTTAAAACTTATGGTATAACAAACAAAATATAGAAAGAATTTGTTTGTTCCTGTACACTAAAACTCTGTATTTCCGGTGCTTTAAATGGATGTAATTGATTATTTACGGTTGTAAATTTTGACCGCTGTACATGGCGCCCTGTAAAGTTTCGGACGTGCCAAGTATCATAAAAGATAGATTATCTACTGGTAAAAAAATAATACCAGGAAAAGACTTTATGACGGCAAATTCAAATGATCTGCTACAACAAATGTTAAATATACAGCGTATATTATACACGTTTGATGTACTTCGTTTAAACTCATAGAAGTGGTAGAAATATTTCCTTTAGCTTCTGTATGATCATAAAATTTAAAACTTAGACTCACCAATACAAAGGAAACTAAATATTATACTTTGTCAGAATTAATGTTAAGTTAGTTCTAACATAATAAACATAAACTATTTTTATCATATTTAGGAAAAAATATTCACCACATTAAACTCGTATTAAATTTTTTCCTACTATTTTAACGTACATCAATTGTTTAGATGATTTATTTTGCATAAATGAGTGAAATATAATGTTTGTATGACTATTCAATCATTTAGTCATTTTTTCATCTAATATATTTTTGCCCAAAATCATTAGGATAGTTAAGATAAAAATGAAAAAAATAATTTGTCATTAAGTGACCCTTGTATGTTTTCAAATAACTTAAGAGAAAGATATCATTGTAATAGTATTTCCAATGTTTAAATACATTTTCTTTTGAAAATTAATTGTTTTTGTTATTTTAACTCAAATAGAACGATTTAAATCAATCATGTTTGCTAAATTTAAAGATCTGAGAGTTTGGAGATCGTTTTCGTATAGCTCTGTGAACATAGTTTAGGGTGAGTGCAAATATTATTGGGCTGTATGTACTTACGAAAGTAACTGGGAGACGAATATGCCAGAAAAGCATATTCAAACATTTAATACACTAAAGTAACACTAAATTAATTTATATTTGAGTTACTGGAATTTATGTTCTACTTCAATAATCATTAATCATTAATCATTTAACCACGTTCTACCTTATATAAATATGATTATTTGTATAGATTAAAAAAACATAAGTTCAAAATTTTACTTGGCAAGTTTTATAATATCTTGAAAAAGGATTGGGATTATAAAGATACTAATTATCCTAATTAGATCAAATATTCTATTTACTATATATAGTATCACCTAATTTTATTATGCAAAAATGAATAAATCATAATTGTTTAACAAATAGAATTTTTTAATTTATGTAAAAAAATATATGTTTAACGCGTCCTTTTTTTTTTTATAAAAATTCAAAGTATTTGTTCTAACTTGATTATTTAACTGATAATTTAGATTAAATTTTTATTTAAATTATTGTATTTTATATTGTTGTATTATTTATATTAGAATTATTTTTTCTATCTTTATTTATCTTTAAAGATATTTTTTTTGTAAAAACCAAAAATTTGTATCATTTTTTACATTCGCTTTACTTATTAAATACAATATTTTATATTTTTAAACAATATAATTGATGAAATTACGTTAACTCCCACGACAATAAGATATTTTTAAAGTTTAATTTATAATATGTTAATATAGTACTATGAAAAAAGTCTGTTAGATTGTTGATTTTAATTTATTATTTCTTCAATTTTATTATTTTTGTGTACAAAAAACAGCATGGAAATTCATTTAGTGTTTTAAAAGTAATAATACACTTCCACTAATTTTTAAATTTAACTTTAATCAATTATTGTACTATAAATGGCAGAAATAAATATTTATGTTGATAATTTGATAGTTATTAATATTTATCAAATTACGAATATTGATGTTACCATTCAATAAAATATCTTATTAATATTAATATCGTGAGTCATTCTTGAAAAAAAAACTGATTTGATAATATTTGCTTTACAAAAATCATAGTGGCATTCAATTTTCTATTTTCTGTCAATACTAATTTTATATTTCAATTAAATCATTTATTTGTATATTTCGATGATGGTTTTCATTGATGTCTTTAATTAATCAACGTAATGTCGTTAAACAGTATAATATTTAACCTTGACTTTTTACTTATTTAGCAAATATTTTTTTACTTATTAATTCAAATTTACTTCAAAGCACATTTATTGTACATATTCATGATAAAATTTGAATACTTAATAACATCCTTTTGAATTTCGATTAGATTTTATCTGATAACAAGTATAAAATTACAAGGCCATTATTGTTTACTCGAATATAATTTTATTATTATCATTATATTTTATTATTACGCAATTACTTTGTATATTAGTAAAACTTAACGACAGCACAAGTAACATGAAAAAACTTTCTATTCGATTATTTTTAGTTAGGTTGAACTCTGCTAAGACAAGCGATTCTTTTTGAAAATGTTGTCTTACTAAAACAGTGTTGACAGTTTTTAAACATAATCAACTTAATAAGTTTCTTTATTAACAACCCCGTAGATTACGTCAAGATATTTGTTATTACGGCAATTTGAATGACACTACTTGTTTCGACTTATTAAGTTATGTGTTCTTTATTAAATCATATTATTTCCTTTGGTATAATTATAAAATAATACCAGGGATTATACAGTCAAATAATTTTAGTCATTAATAGCGCGTACATAATTTGAGAATTAACAAAAACGATACCTCAACTTTTTTATTGTAATTAACCAATAAAAATGTTAACATTTTTATATAATAATTAAACTAAAATATATTGCGCTGTATATTTTAAGTTCTAATTAAAAATACAACTGAAAAATGCACTACATTGTAATTTAAAATGCAAACATTACAGCCAACATTTATATAAAGTTTTGCATTGTAGCGTAATTTTTAAATGTTTGTAAATTTTCATAATGCATGAATTCATTTAAAATGTATAAGTTTTGAATTTTTTCTTATATAAATATAAAAAAAGAACACCTGGTATTCTCAAAAAACAATTGTACTAAAAAAACATTTTTAAAATGCTAAGTAAATATTTTTGTGTGATTGGTGAATTCAAGATAAAACTCTGTGATATTCTTTTATTTATAACAATGTCTGATTTCTTTGAGTCGGTGAATTATTAATAACTTCGATGTAACATATTTAAAAAAAATTTCACCGTTATTTACAACAACTGATTGTTTTCCAACCCTTATATCTTCAAACATTCAACATTTTGCAAAAATTATCGTAATAAAATCATTTTTCGAATTTAACAAATTACTAATTTAAGTACGGAAGACGCCAAATTCCCATAGGAAAAAAAAAAAAAAATTAGAGAGACTAAGATGTTGCCACAGGTTTGTCTTGAAGATGACTCACTCCTATATTATTCTTCGTCGACAAACTGTGTGGTGTTCATCTACCAACATATACGCAACATTTTTCATTGTTATGTGGACGAGCATTAAAGCGTATTTAGACTTTTTACCTTTTATCGTCGGACATAAACTTATCAGCGGAGCTTATATCGTTTACATTTGTAGCGTAGGACATTTTTTTAAAATTATTACTCTCAACTACGATACACTAGTCAAACATTGTCACTCATTGCGCATTTCATTGAATTAGCCATAATTTATAGTCATTTAGTTAGTTTAATATTAAACTCAAATCGGAACTAGGTCAGACATTTGTTTGTTTTAAATTGTATAATTTTATATTATATTAAATTTTTTTTTATTAGTAAAACACTTTACTAACCTTATATTGCGTCTTACACTTATTAGTTCTAAGTATTTTTTTAGTGCTGTATTAAAATAATACGTTTGTAATTTCTCAATTTATTAACATCTTTAATTAAAAAATCTTAGCAGGATTGTATAGGGGTCTCATAAAAGGAATGAGAAGCAGATGTTCGATTGCCCTAATGTTTAATAATCTAGAAATTCAGATAATTTTGATTTCAAGCTATAGTTCATATAAATTGTAAATTGAAGACTAAAACTATTTCGATCACAGAATTATCATTATTCCAAGTAATATTTAAATAGATAGATATTTTACAGAAAAATTTACTTTTATGGTATAAACTACTTACTTTTCATGTCACCCGTAACTTGAAAAGCTTCAAGTTTCTTAACAATATAAAAGTTATGTTAATCATTTTTGTTTTAACTTTTAAGTGATTAGATGTTTATCATAATTTTTTATTTAAATATACTTTTAAATTATTATATATAATAATATATGTATAATATATTATAAATAAATGCGCACAATGAACCAACAAATGAGATCATGGGCATTATGTCCACCTCGATAATAGCTAAAACTATTATAAATAAATATAATATATAATTCACTTAGTGACTCTTTAATAGTATATTTAAAAATTAAATGAATATAATGACTAAAAGCGCATTCATATGTTATGAATCACACACTAATATATACCGATATATTTTTATTTGAAAAGATATGTAACTTTTTAGATAAAAAAATTTATTGTAGCGAAATCACTTTAATATCATGACTAGGAAAAAAATTTTTACTACCTGTGTTCCATTGCACTCTTTCTGTGAAATTATACAACATTTTTTATGGCAAAATTAGAATATTAATAATGTAAAGAAAAAATTCTTTTCACTGTTTTGAAAATACTTCATTATATTATTTTATTTTATAATAATTATAATAATTTTCAAGTACCATTTATGTATATTTATATATTGTTTAGTAAGTTAGGAAACGAGTTTCTACTATTCTCTTTGTTTGTAACAAATTACCTGTTCCTTACTTTTTAAATACTCTGTATATCTGGATATACTCCTAAGCTCTACTTTGTAACTAATTAAATTTTACTTTATACATGAAATAAATCAAACTGTATGGAGAANCTAATTAAATTTTACTTTATACATGAAATAAATCAAACTGTATGGAAAATCTCTAATAATGGGATAAACGTATTTTTTAACATTGATGCATAGCATTTGCAAAAGGGATATAATGTTTAATAACAGCAAACTTTCTCTATTTTAATTAATAGCCGCGAGTCTTGTCATTAATTTATTTCACTAAATTAATTGTAATACTGCAAGTATTTGTTATTTACAGTAATTTATAGTATTAAACATAGTTATAATAAATGGGTATCTTATATTACATCATACACCACATGATTATTTATGAATATGATTGTTAAAACAATAGTATAACGGTCAGTATTTAACATATAGAGTGTTTTGGACCTAACTAACAACGCTTGTAACTTTTGGTACAATTATCATTTTGCTGAAATTTCTTTTTATTTCATTAAAGCATATTTTTTATTATTTATCATTAATAAGAAAGTAATAGAATACAAAATTTGTATTATTATATTTCAAAATAACCTTTTTTTATCATTTCTCTTAGAAAAATATTTAATACGTTGATAAAAATATTAGGATAAGTACTTTTCTTTTATAGATAAAGTGAGTATGGAATGTGGACACAATATATGTACATCAGTACGAAATGCACCTCCCTCACTACATACCCATTCTATGTATTAAAATACTTGTAACTTAATAAGTAATTGTCCTAAAATGTTTAACGACCCATCAAAATAATAAAAAATGTGCTTTAAACGTATTCTAAGAATGTAATAAAGCAATTAAAAAAAAAAATTCAACAAATTAATAATGTAGTCACTTTTTTTTACACGACTGACATATTGTGGACCGCCGTTAAGCATTACTTCAGGGTGACCTAGCGTAGTCAGTAAGTTCTAAGAAACCCTACATATTGAATGCCAACAGTTACACTATTGTTTTAACAATCATATTCATAAATAATCATTAAAAAAATTAAATTTAGATACTATTTTTATGAAGTATAGAAGAAAATTGAGAACTGACTTAGAAAAACTAATAAAACTTTACTTTCTAATATAGTATTATAATTTTCATCAAACTCATAAATGATTGTTTTATATTATAATAAAAGTATCCTACATGAATTCTTTCAACTTATCAAAAATGTATATAAATAAAGTTAATTTTCCTGAACTTTTATGTTTCTCTGTTAGTACTGTATTTATAATAATAGTTATATAGAATTATTCCAATAAAAATTAAGTTATAAAATGGTAAAATTATAAGGGGATCTAGTAAAGGGAAATAATGAGATTAAACAGTTATGCAAGTGGATAAATTACAAAATTTACGATGCTCTCAATAAAAATGTTATTTTATAGTTATGTTTATTATAAAATTAATAATGGCACAACAAAATTTTTACTTTTTTGGTATCAGATTCAAACCAACCATATTAGGCATTGTATGTGTATTTGCGATGTAAGGTTTTAAAAACAAATTGCTATATTTCCTATTTGTAATACATTTAGCTATTAAGTCCAAAAACCGTTATCATAATCAATAATCAAATAAAATGACATGTTTAAAACCCTTAAATCGTTCGTTCCAAGATATCTACTTACTTTAGGCTATTGCGTATAAAACTTCAATTTAAAAATTATTTTTAATTTCCACAAAATTACAATAGTAACAAAAAAAAAAAGGAGTAATAAAGAAATTAAAAATAAGTTTAACACTTTTAAATTTAATTGAGTTAGAAGATTAAACTTTATTTTTAATTTAGGTCATAATAAATGGGAGAAATATACTGTTAATTTTGAATTTTTATAAATCTTAAATTAGTGATATAAATATAATGATGAATAAATTAATTTTACTCAATAAAATCCAAACAATGATTTTTGTTTTTTTTTCTAAGAGTAGCAAAATTTATTGTTTACATTGATTTCCTACCCGTACCTCCATTTAGAAGCTTTATTCCTCTTAATCGTTAGTTAACATAACACACATTCTACATAGTTATTTAATTTAAATTAGATTAAAAATTTTATATCAATATCATTAACTAATACTTTTTTCTAATAGTTTGTATTAAATTCTATTAATAGAAATATTTATTCATACAAATAATTTTTAATGTCATTAAATGTAAACCTTTTCTAATAAAGAGGTTTCTTGAGTAGGATATAAAAACACATTTTACTTATATTCTACGTAGTTGGCAGTAGGTTTCAAGTATAAACGGATTCAGAAAGTTTAGTACTGAAATAAATCTACTTCTTATACGCTTCAGTAGAAAGTTATACTGTATTCATAAAATTCTAGACTTCTCACGTTATATTTGTCCTATTGCTATGAAATGCAATATAAATATACGACTCTTAAGAATGTCTGAGCACCTGAAGTCATATCGATGTAAAAGCTACGTTATATTGTTTTTAATTTATAATGTGTTCTTAAAATGTCTTGTAACCATTTGTTCTGATTTTTACGCAACCTATTCGAGTAAATAACTGCTCATAAAATTTTTAACAAATAAATTTTATTTTTCAGAAGGCGACAATATTGCAGCTATTCAAAGACATGGAACATCATCTAGTCCATCGCTAATACTGATGGCAAATTTAATATTAGCCACCCCTTTAACACTACATAGACTAACAGAGTTCCTTTAATTTCAATTTTCGATAAGTTTTCTTCTTGAACACAATAATTTAAGTAAGTGTACAATACTTTTAACAAATTTTAATAAAATGTATCAATTGACAATTAATAATTTTTTAAAGTTTAAAAAAAAATATTTCCATATATTTAACATAATACATTAAAAATACGACGTCTTACATATACTGAAAAAATACTGTTTTTTATATAACACTTTTATTAAATAAATCATATTTTTGTTTGTCTAACAAAATACTTGTTTGCTTTATAAACTATTTATTCTTCTAATCACAGCCACCAGAACTATTTTTTATATGGGGCAATGGCAAAAATTTGCAAGTAGGCATTTCGTCGGCCTGCAGCAGCAACGTGGTTTTCCCCTTGCCTAACGACTAGCTATGATAACAAGGGTCATCAACACCCAGGCGAGGTATCACACCTATGAAATATAATTAATTGGCTATAGATGGAAATGAATTTTAAGTTAATTGATAATTTCATTTGAGTTAATATGTCATTAAATATAATTGATTATAACACGTTGTGGTTTATTAACCTCAACTATGATAGTTAAAATTATATGTGGTTGATATGATATATGGTTGATATATCATACTATAAATAAATAAATATTATTTATTTGTTAAAATTTACTCAATAGTTACATGACTATACTCCATCAATGGGGTAAGAGTACGCTTTTATTTTTCATTTTGCTTTTGTTCATTACTCATTAAATAGATTTCTAATCATACTATTGATACCTTATTTGTATTCATTAATTATTTGTCTAGCTTATAAAAATAAAAATTGTTTATAACTACAATATACTAAGTTATATAAGATAGAAAACACGTGCACATTTTCACTCTATGAAATACGCACGATGCATTATTGCTCATTAGTGGTATTTTCATCATTATTTTTATAATTATGTTGAAAGTATCACTCAGTCAATCTTCTCGAGTTTAGGTAAATGCAGGTTAGTGCACTCGTTAATTTTACATAAATGTACTATAAAATTTACATTATATTCATTTAAAAACATTATTTCGAAATACTAAATATAAAAAAAGGGAAACATTTTTCATCATCGGTAAAGTTTTTTTGACTGGCAGTGTATCCTGTTTTGAATTGAAATTTACGAAATCTATGCCCTGTAAAATTACTATATACATATAGCTGTACATTAAAAAAATAAGCTACTCCTCTCTATTTTGTATATTTATAACGTAATTATTTTTATATTTTAACCAATACCATTCTTTTCCCTGAAAATACTAAATCCTAATAAAAAGAGTCGCAGTCATCATTTATTTAGTGGAGAGTGCTCTATTTCAAACGATTTTTAAAGTATCTGACTCTTTTTAACTGATAGAAAATTATATTAAAAAATTATAATTATATTAAAAAAGTATTATAATTATTATTAATTATAATAATTAAGTAATAACTTATAGATTTAAATTTTAATTAGGTCTTTTTTACAGTAATAAAAGTTATTTAAAATATAACATTGTTGTCCATCAATAGTCCACAATGGAACAATAGATTCGTTTTTAAGGAAATGAATAATTGACACTAATTTATTGACTTTAATAAAAAATAATATTTAGTTAGGCTACATTTTATAACTTTTCTTAATAAAAATTCAATATTTTAAATAGGTTATTATCATAAGAAAAAAAGCTTGTGAGTCAATTTAAATACCCGATTTTTTACTGTCAATTGATTGATAATATTATACTTGATCGACTTGTTAAAATAAAGTCCTACAGACATTGCAATTTTTAATTTATCATTCATATGTGTATACTTCAATGTGCTCGTTTCAATATACCCCGATTAATGTTATTAATATTGTTAATACCAGGGGCGAGAAATTATATCACGCTTATCTGGTGATTAATTAGAAAAGATTTTAGGAAATTTATATTTGTTTTAAAGGAAAACTGTGGTCGCTAGTTCACACAAAATTACTTATATTTCCATACAAATAACAATCATTTAAATTGTATTAAATATTTATAATTTAAAATAGCACCTTGTGCAATTTAGTAATAAGAATTAACAAATATAACAATAAATATAAATCAGTATTACTAACTATTAATTTGATTATTTACACATAGACATAATTAAAAAGGAGATTCAATATAAATAATAGTATTGGCTATATAATTTATACACTAAGATTATTGTATGATTTATGCATTAAAATTGGCAATTGTCATCCGTGTGACTTACACAATTTTCTTAATCCATCCGTGTGGAATATAACGACAAATAAATCATAAAATCGTTACCTTAGATAATCCGACAATGTCATCCGTGTGACTTAAATAATTTAGCTAATATTAAACATCAAAATATATCACTTATATAATACAATATTAGTTATACTAAGGCAACTAACTACATAAACAAACTTCAATGACAATAACTTTTGGAAAAAAAAACAACGTTAATATAATTTTTACTAAAAAAAACGTATAACCAACAAAAACATTTTTCGTATATATTTTACTAATCTAATTACATACACATGTCGACCGGCAATGATAACCGGCCGACTACGCCCAGCGACCGGGAGAGGAAGGGAAGATGAGTGTATAAAATCAAATAAGCGCGCTATCTAGTATTTTTTTTTTAAAGCAGCGCGAACAAATATCATAAAAAAATTACTTAATAATAAAATAAATGATAAGTATAACATACTAAAATTTATATATATTTTTTAGATAAAATAATAAATTTTAAATTGACACTAATATTTTATTTGCCAAAAACAAAAAAAGTTAATTTTTTATTTCTTGGTTTAATTATTTAACATTGGTAATACTGTTAAAAACTATCAGCGTTTCCAAATTTTTATTAGATCAGTATTTAAACACATTTTGTATTACAATAAAAAAAATAATTCTCGATTGTTATGTTACATGTAAAGTCTAATATTTTTTCGGCACTTTCTATTTTATTATAAAAATTGATACTAAGTGATAAGTATTCTTTAACTTTTTTTGCACATTTCTTATATATATATATATATTTGTCAATCAATATATATTACATCAACCTACATTTATAAAACAAACAATGACAATCTTTGTGTTAAAAATAGTTATCATAATAACTATTAGAGCTTTTGAGAAAATTAAATTGATTATTTAACATTACAAAGTTTTTTAAATAACAATTATAATTATAGAACATTTTTTATATTATAATCTAATAATTTTCAATTTATTTTTACTAATTAAATTTTTTATTGGTTAATTTAAGCTACTTACAGCTTTTCAAAATAGGGAGTTTATTTTAAGTCATATTTTTTTTTTATAAAACTAGGAAAGAAATCAATAATAAGTTACAATGAATTGTATTTGTCATTATGTACTTTTAGATATATTATTTGTTTTAAAATTGAAATTGACATTTTTACAAAACTGACAAGTGGTTTTGACAAAACCATTTGAGATTATCTACTTAGACTTTCATTAATTCATTAAAAATTCACTAAAATAAAAAATACATGTCTACTTTTATTAATAGTAGACATTGTTTTTAGTTAACTAATTATAATTTACAACTATTTAAAGGTACATTCACTAATACTTATACAGTGTATAGATCATAGTATTTTTGTTTTGTTTTAATTTAATTATATTTTTTTAATGAAGAAATAACAGATTTTTAACATTTTTATTTATTTTCAATGTTTAGCCAATTGTATGTTTGCTGTTAGTTTTTCCTATATTTATATTATTTTTACGATTTCAAGAAGTTTAACGTTTGACTGTTCTTTCTCGTTATATTGTTTTGTGTTATAATTACAAGTTTCTTACTATAGTAATTTCATTAAAAATTATAGTCTCCAAATTTTACACCCATTAAATATTAATTGTTCTTTTTGCAATAATAATTATTATTATTGCAAACTGGAATTATTCCCACTATTAAAATAATTCTAATAGTGGCAATACATAAAACAATATTATATAGTGGTTTATGCAAGTAAATTAAAGTAAGTGTTTGATGTTTGTAGAATAAAAACTAAGTATAACTCACAATGTTCTAAATTACGGTAAGGCCGGATTAGTTCATAAAAAAGAGAAAGATGTCGAATCCAGTAGTTTTCAAAATGAATTACTCATAGCAAAACATACTTAATAGTGTAAAAATATCTTGAGGTACACTTTGTTAATCACTGGTAATAACACGCGCGCACGTTAATTTAAATTTTGGTTAGAAATTCATATTTAGCGTGTTTGATGTAATTTTTGATCATTAAGACTTTAGATAATAGTATTAAATGGTATAATTTTCAAATTTCTCTCTTATATATTCTGTAAGTATTACTTAGTACTTATTATTTATAAGAGACCGTATTCTTTTCAATGGTTTTAGTTACAAAGCATTACGATCGTTTTCGTCGTCTCATCCCATAATTGGGAAAAGATGACAAAAATAGCAATTTTTAGGAAAACCCATAGCTCATCCCTTAGAAGATCAAAGCACATTCGAAAAAAATCATGATATTGGAAAGATATAGAAGAAAATCTGATGCAAATTTCAGATTTGAAATCCATTCACAAAAGTCATAAAATATCATAGAAGCTTAACCTCATCATTCCACAACGCCTTACCCTATAATATTATTATTTTAACCATCATGATGTTTAAACTGTAAAAATGTCAAACTTCAAATATATATAAAATATAATCGTATAAATGCGTTTATTGCCAGTGGTTGATAGCCTATAATATATTTATTTTTATAAAATTTTTTTTTTTTTTGAAAAAAGTTCTCTTAATCGTAAAGTTAATTAAAACTTTTATTTGAAAATACCGATATATTATGTGTATTATATTAAATGATAGAGAAAAATAACATAATTTTAAATGTTTTGAATTAAGCGAAGTGGAAAATAACGATAAAAACATTTACAAAATATCTTTCTTTTTTGCTTACATGTTAATATATTATATTGTGAAAATTCACAAGGGTATGCCAAATGCGTTCACAATAAAAATTGTCGATCAGAATATTGTTTACAATTGTTGTTCTTTGTTTGTTAAGGTCATATTTTGGTCCAAAGTATGGGCATACAAAATCGTACGTTTTTTCAGGCTTAAAATATTTGGTATAATGGCGAATATTTATTTTTTTGAGATATCTTATTGTTATTGGGTAATAATAATGTTTTTATTTTTATAATTGAATTATAGGGAATAACTAAAAACCCTTTATAAACATCTTTGGTTTGAAAAATTATGGTATTTTGAAGTCATTTTAAATTAACAATAAATTATAAAAACTATGAACACTAGACGAAACATCTAATTGATCATTTAACACATGTAAAGATATTCAAAACTTTTTAGTTATTTTTATATTTATTTGTTTATTTGAAATTTAAAATTTAAATTTAACAAAAACGTATTTATTTCGTATAAACATAATCAAATTATTTTATTAACATCTTAACTGCTACAAATTAATTTTCATCAAAGATAATAATACATGCATACCTACACATGATTTTACATTAGGTGGGTTTATTAATAAATTTTTATTTATAGAAGATTTTCCATGGACAATTTTGTATTTTCCCTTCTTTGACAGTTTTCTAGATACTTTTAACAAATATTGTACACTGTCAATAATTTCATATCTTTAAAATACAAGCGATCCGTTAATATAATTTTTTAATTACATATTGTTCTTGAGCTATTAGCTATATAATTTTTTAAGTTCATCTATTATGTAAGGGTATCAGCTTTATTTTTCAAATGAGAAGTCATATTTTGAATTTAATAAAATGTTTAAAGTTATTTTTTTAATAGTTTATTTTTAATTATATATAATATAACGACTTTCAAAAAATATTTTCTTTATTCCATTAACAATTAAATCAACATTTTCACCCCATATTTCGTAAAGTTTTACTTAAGCTTTTCCTACTATCACAATTACAAGTTAAAAGACCCTTATAAACTTGAGAAATTTTTTTTAATCATCTGAAACTTGGCATATATGAATAAAATGTATTAGGATGCATATTTTTGCATAGTAAAAAATTTAAAAACTTTTTAGTAAAGCCTGAAGTTTAGGAGGTGTTTTTTAATTTATTCAAAAAACGTGTACCATAAATTCAAATAATTTTGATTAGATTGTTTTTTCTACCTCATTTGAAAGATTTTATTGAAAATATGTAAAATAAACAAGTTTTGCACCCTTAAAAATTAAATTTTTAATAGACTTCTGATTTTATAGCTGTGGTTATAGGATTTTTGAATCCACAAAAATAATTACAATTATATCGCCTCCTTTTCACCATAATACCTAAACACTTTATTAAGTTGTGCAGAGTATAAAAAGAACAGTAACTGTCGACTATTGTTATTTTATTATACAATATAAAATAAAATAAATTATATGTTTAGCTTGGCTTACAGGTCGACCAACCTGCTTCATAATCTATAGTGCAATATTTGTAACGTAAAGAATGAACCCAACTGTTAAGGAAAAATATTTCTTTGTGTGGTAGACAAATAGTTTTATATAAGAAATATTTGACCGAAGAAAATATTATTTGGTATGTCATATGAAAGTCTCACTACTTTGTAAAATAAATGAAATATTAATAATAATGAAAATTAAAAATATTAAATACAACATTTTTATGAGAAGAAAAACTTTATATTAGCAAAGAGAAATAATTTTTATATTTAAAAATAATCTATAATATTTTGACCTATTACCAAGCAACTAAATAAATAAATAAAAAAATCTTTAAATTTATATAACTTTAACTAATGATGTAAATACTTTACTTTTATTGTGAGTGTTCTCATGTGAACTACCCATCCTATTCATATAATCAATTACTTTAACAAATTTACTTATTGAACACATTTTATTGATTGTAAGTATACAAATAAAGAGAATATTAAAAAAAAAAATATATTTTTTGCGATTGTTTGACATCAAATCTTTACAATTTAAACTGAAATTAGTTGCGTTTTCAATTATTTATAATGCGTTTAAGACGCAGAACTTTATCAGTACTTCGAAATAACATGTGGCATATTTCAATAATTTTAGTCCTTTAATAAGTTATAAAAATTTATCAGGATTAAAAATTTCACCAAAACTATTTTTTTATCATACCGGTTTAACAAACTTATAGATATTTAATAAATATTTTACTGGTTTTTAAAAATTATTTTATATATCTAGTACTTCATATTATATTATTGTTATTTAAATATAATGTGAGTTACTAAATAACACTTTAAATTTATTTCAAATGGAGATTGCTTTTTATTTTTTCTACATAAAATAAATTTAACTATTTGAAAAATTGACTAAATTAATTAAATGTTCCTTGAGGGGTAAGTTGACAACATTGTGATGTAGCTAGTTCATGTAACCCTACGTCTCAGAATCGATTCTCACGTACTTTAAAAACTTGTTGCATTATTTCTACAAACTGCTCTTTAAAAAAATAAGAACAATAACTAAAATTAATTGTCGAGCTATAATAGTACTTTGTATTGAAAGCTATAAAAAAAAAAAAAATGAAACTTCCCATATTTCTTTTTTTGTGAAAAGTTTTGTAGAGATTTAAGTTTAGTATGTTCAAACTCACACAAAACAATTTTTCTGTAAATTTTTTTTTGGAATACATTTATGAAATATAATACAAACTCATGTAATTATTATCAATGACTATTTAATTATAAAATTTAGACCACGCGTAGTAAGTTATTGTGACTAATTAAATTTTTGTTTTTATTTTTAGGAGGATGGTAAAATATAATGTGTTAGAAATTACAAAGGACCCATGACTTTATCTCTTCAAAAACTTATTTGTAAACACTTAAAATTGATTATATATATATATTGTATTTTTCAAATGTATATTTTGATGATTTAAGTCATGTTTACCACATTATTTTACAGTTCTATAATGCACATTGTTTATAATTATATTTTCTATGAAAACCAAATAATTTAATTTCTTTTTAAAATTGGGATTTTAATTTGGTGTCTTAAATCAAGAAAATAAAGTAGTATGTTTGAATATAATAATTTGTTGAAAAATTTGAAAGAAATACAATTAAAAAAAAAAACTATTTTGAAAGACTTTATTTAATAAATAATGTTTAATTTATTTCTTACTAAACTTAAAACAACTCGGATATGGGACTGTTTATTTTTTTTAATGTTCCAATATTGTATTGTGAATGCCATTTCAATGTACAACATGATTTATATAAAAATGTTGTTATAAAAATGAATGTAATTTATTTATTTTTAGCATCAATAATTTAATATAGTAAAAAATGATTTTTTGTAAATTTATTTATAACATTTGTTTAAATTTTCAAAAATCTCTCATAAATAAATAAATTAAACATTTCAGATTAATCTTTAAAAAAATGATGGACTGTTTTTTACAATAGATTTATTATTATTTAAAATTATATTTGTAACACTATTCAATATGATATTGATTTCAAAACAAAAAAAAATTTTAGTTATACAAATGTAATCAATTATAGTCTTTATTTTGATTTTTTCTATTAAAAATTTAAGAAAAACATAAATATTTAATTATTGTTTAATTTTTTTTTTGTATGATTGTAAAAGAAAAAATCATGATTTTGCTAAAGTAATACTCATTATAGGATTTTAGTTAATTAATATATTTTTTCAAGAAACTTACATTTTATTAAATGTATACCATATAAAAATGAATATAAAGGGTTATATTCATTACATTATTATAATAGTGTTTCATCAAACTATGTTATACACAATATTAATAATTTATAATTATCATAAACAGGCATGTATTCAAAGGTAGTTTTTGGAGGTCAAAACCCTCTTAAAAATATTCTTCTAAATTACACGTTATCTATGACTTAAAATATAACACTGCTTTTTAGACATCACTCTAAAAATATATAAATAATATTTTGACTACATGCTCATTATTGTCTTCATTTCACAGATAAATTTTTTTATCATTTTGTATGTATATCTGTTTTATCACTTTCAGTTGAGTTGAGCACTCAGAACATAATAAAATATGCAATTGTAAAATATGTTGATAATTATTAGTTTATTAATTTAAATGTGATAATAAATAATATATGTACAGTTTACTTAATATTAATAATAATAAATATCATATTATGTGTGTAAAATATGGATAATCAGGGGTGGCTTCAATATTAATTTGTAAATATAGTTACTAATTATTAAATATTATGTATATTCACTTATTTCGAAAAAAAAAAAATTTAAGTACATTAATATTATAATCTAACTGATTTATGAAATTTGTGACTAAATATATTAAAATGCATATATACGAGGTGTGACAATTAAGTAATGAGACTGATTTTATTGCCGCGCTCGTGATAACACTACGGCCTTGAAATTTATACGGTATGTAGCGGATTCCCTCCTCTCTCCGACGATAAGTTCACCGTCTCTCTCGTTGCAGTAGTTCGTCCGCTGTATCGCGTTATGTGAACACGTGTTCGTAGTGCTCGTCACGAAAATGGAAAAGGCAAATTTAGAGCAACGCATCGCGATAAAATTTTGTGCGAAATTGGGTGAAACCGCTACGGAAACTTATTCCAAAATATTGAAGGTGTATGGTAGTGCTTCACTTAGTCGTCCCCAGGTGTTTCGATGGCACAAGCAGTTCAAAGAGGGCCGCGAGAACGTGGAAGACGAAGAGCGAGTAGGGAGACCAGTTGAAGTGCGAACCGACGCGAATGCGCAGCGCGTGCGCTCCCTAATCCGCGAAGATCGTCGTTTGACGGTTCGAATGGTGTCGTCTGAACTCGGTATCAACCGTGAAACCGTTCGACAGATTCTAATAAACGATTTCGGGATGAGAAAGGTGTGTGCGAAGATGGTCCCAAAGAATCTTTCTGCTGAGCAAAAACAGCATCGAATGGCTCTCGCACAAGACTGTCTGGAGCAAGTTGAAAACGATCCCACGCTGCTTGATCGAGTTATCACAGGTGATGAAAGCTGGTTTTTTCAATATGATCCAGAAACCAAACGTCAAAGCTCGCAGTGGCTGTCTCCAAACACCCCTCGTCCGAAAAAAGCTCGCATGAGCAAGTCGAGGGTGAAAACCATGATCATTACCTTTTTCGACAGCCGCGGAATCGTCCATAAAGAATTCGTACCTCTTGGGCAGACAGTTAATCAACATTTCTACCGAGAGGTACTCGAAAGATTGCGAAAACGAGTTCTCAGGGTGCGTCCAGACATCGCAAACACTTGGATTCTGCATCACGACAACGCGCCGTGTCACACAGCCCTCAGTGTTTTGCAGTATTTGACTTCCAAAGGCATCACCGTGTTGCCGCAGCCGCCTTATTCGCCCGATATGTCCCCATGTGACTTTTTCTTATTCCCCAGAATGAAATTGGAGGTCAAAGGAACCCATTTTGAGTCGATTGAGGCGATCCAAGCGGCCGTGACGAGGGTACTCATGGACATTCCAGTTGAAGCGTTCCAGAAATGTTACGACGCGTGGAAAATGCGATGGGCTCGGTGTATAGCTGCCCAAGGGGACTACTTTGAAGGGGATAGAACAGTTGTTGAATAATTTTTAAATATACGGCTTTTATAACGTCAGTCTCATTACTTAATTGTCACACCTCGTAT